TTAGGCAGCACTCTTCGGCCAGATGCCTGGGAACCGAGCAGGCAGTGCAAGTGGTCTGGATGCCACAGGTGTAAGACACACAGGTACCGTGATACCAAACGGCAGAAGGCAAAATGGTAGCTATGGCTCGGATAGCACAGCCTGTGTCACTCTTTTCACTAGAAATTGTGCCACCTTTGCACACCATGGTCCTCAAGCCAGCGTTTTATAGAGAGGTAAAGTAGCAAGGGTATGCATTGGGTGAGATACAGCAAAGAAAGAAATACAGGCAATTTTGGACCACAAGGTGGATATTTCAAGGTACGTTTGGCATCCTGTTCTTCATGAGTGTTTTAAATCAGTACTTCTTCCTGAAGCACTGCCTCTTGCTGTTTCATCTTGCCTGTAAATAGCATGGCACACTGGAAAATTCAAAAATAATCTATTAAATAGACCACTATCTGTTCAGGACATGGCAGCTCAACTGCAGCCACAGAGCTACTCTCTTGGAAAGAGGCCACCATAAACATGGGGGCTGTAAAAGGCAGGACAAGTTGTGGGAAAGTTGCTTTGGGATTCAGGGGCATAAACATAACTGAAGGATGAGGTTGCTTAAGAGGCTAAGCAAGTAGAAGATGACGACCTTGGCCATACACTTCAGAGAAGATGAAAACACCAGGCAAGACAAGGAAGGATCATGCAGAAAGGAAGTATGGAAACTGGGAAAACTCAGAAAAGGCAAGACACCAAGAAGGTGGAGAAGACTTGCAGTGCCAAAAGCAGGACACGATAATAGCACAGATACTAGCACTCTCTTACTCTTGTCATAAGACCATCGTGAAATTACTTTAAATTTAGAAGAATGACATTTAAGAGACTACAGTTTTTGTTACATAATTGATTGTTTTTCATGAAAACCAAGAAAAAAAAAGCCACCACTTATTATTACTGAGTTTTGATGGGCAGCCACAACCAAATTCTTAAGTGATCAAATATAAAATATGCTTGAAGGCTGTTCATACCTACCAGGGCAAGACAGATGGTGTGGTGTAGGTGTCTCCACTTTATTGCACCGCACCCCAAATAGACAACATGCGAGTATTTTAGCAACAACATACTGACTGTAGCAAACGCTAGGGCAAAGCTATTGATCCCCACGTGGGCTTCCAGGGAGAAAATGAAAAGGTCTTCATGGGTTAATACTTCTGGCTGAAATTTGCTTATTTAGAGCTTCGCTTAACAGATGCCATCATCAGGAGATAAAAGTCCTTACACTGAACAGACAATTTTAATGGCCTTTCCCATTAAGCTATGGGTGATATATTTCAAAGGGCAGATTATTGGAGCCTTTCTGCTGACAGCAAGGAATGTCAGTTGAATTCAGAATATCAGTGAACATCTAAGCCTTGGTAAGAAGGATTTTAATATAGAGTTATATTACAATTCAGGACAAACCACCTTGACCAACTTATTCTCCTGTACAGCACAAAGGGACGTTACACTATATCTCCATTTATATTCATTGCCAAAATAGGGAACGGACCCTTACCGTTCATGGGAACAAAGCTCCAGATGCTCTTATATTCTAAGCCTAATGTGCTCAGCTACTGGTGTGGCACCATTAATCACCTAAAACATGAGTTTTATACCCTAGGAAAACTGGCACCTCCCAGATTTATCGGTTTGACTCCTCTGCTTAATAAAAAGTTTCTTATGAACAAGTCAGCTCTGAATAGACCATACTAAACATCATCATCCTATAATCAATAGGTATAGGGAAGACAGTTTTTAAGGTTTAGCTCCTTTCCTGTTCTCCGGCAGACTGAAATTATTCAGCGCTGTACTGCAGAGCTCCATTAAGCACTTTGTTTTTCATTGAATGACTGGAATCAAATGCGTATGGCCTCCATGGATGGATAAACTGCTGTAGAAAGAGATAAGTCAGCAATACTGATTGGCTCTGTTGTCTGAGCGTGCCTTTTGATTTTTGAATTTCTGCCAAAAGCATCATCGTTCTGTGTTTACCCTTCAAAGGCCCTCGGTCACTCAGATGGTGCATATGCTCGCAGCACAGCGAGAAACAGAATTCATAAAAAAAAGAAAATTTCAGTACTTGTGTTTGTTCAGGGTAAATTTGTGGCACAAATCCGATCCCTCATCTTTCACAACATTGTTACCACATCTCTTTCACTCGGGGAAATGGTTTATCTCTGCGCAAAGCTGTACACAGGTTTCCCAGTGTACTGGGTCACATCATTTTTCTCTTCCTTTCCCTTCCCAGCAAGTCAAAATAACACAACCACCACAAACGTCTGTGGTGGCTTCTTTTGTCTGTGTGCTCGCGTGAATTCACACGAACCACCGAAAACATACCGCATTTTTCTTGGCTTCTGGGGCCAGGGCCGTCAGCGCTGGGCTCAGTCCTGGCTTCCACAGGACGCCGCAGACTTGCATCTCCCTCAAGAGCTGCTGCTGCAACAAGAGCTGTTGTTTAACCATGGACGCTCGCTGTGCTCTTTGTGCTTGAGTAAATGCCTGCTGGAGGCAGCAGGAACAAGACCAGAATGGGTCCCCGATGAGGCGTTTGAGTTGGTTACAAATCTCTCCAAACTCAACCTTCGGCACTCGGGAATCTCCTAAGGCAGAGACAAACAACGGACCCTCTCGCCACCTCTGCCCAGGCAAAATGGGTATTCCCCTTTGAAAATAAAACCAGATCCGACACCAACGATGTGGCTTTCATGCAAACATACCGGTAATGGCAAGACTGTAAATAAATAAATCATATCTGCATAAACTGTAATAAAGTGACAAATGAAGGCAATGGTCATCTGCTCGTTCGAAGCCTTGTTGGACATTTTGCAATCTTGTGATTTCTATTACTGCAACCTCACCAGAGTTGCGAGTTGGGCTGACCGCGAAGGTCTGGGCCCTGAAAAATCTTATTCTCATGCACACCGTAAGAAGCAGGGATAGCGGAGTCAGAGCCAGTGCCGTGTCACAGATGTGGCTTAAGATCTCGGGGTGAGGAAATGCTTTCTTACAGATAGCTCACAAGCCTAAACCCCTCGTGGCACTAAGAGGAAATGAATTTGATTTCTCAAGAGCCTCCGGCTTCCTAACAAACCTTGGGAAACAAGTTCAGAATACGAGCATATGCTCAAATCCATTTTCTAGTTATAAAGGCTTCTTTATTACAGTTTTTGGCTGACAACAGTTGAGATGATAGCATGTTTATCATCATTCTTAAAACACTTGAGAGAGAACAATGTGAGTGCATTTTTTATTTCGGTTTTAACTTCTTTATTTCATTGCTGTACAGCTGCATTACACTTGGCTTTAATCCCTTAAGCATTATTTTCCTTGGCAAAATAGTCACTGAACTGAGTAAAACTTACTATTGGAAAAATATGCTTGAAAAAACAGTGTGATGTCAATGCCAACTGAAACCCATGGAGCTTAAAATGTCACAAATGTGCCTGTAGCTGAAATACACAGCTCCTCATTTTTTTGACCAAACTAGGAATGTTATAAATCTTAAGTTGTGAAGCCAAATGTAAAAACCATAGAGTAGCCTCCTGAAACTGAATGTGTGCTTTTTTTCCCCTCTGTGAACAATCATTTGGAAAACAATTATGTAAAAATTGATGTAGGGTAATTCCATAGGCAACAAATGACTGCGTGGCTCAGCTTCTAGGCTCGCCTGCATTAACTGCGGCCACCGGTAAGAAGTTGGGCTACAGGCTTCTTAGAGAAAAGCTAGAACCCGACCTTGTAAAACATCTTTAATATTCAAATATATAAATAAGCACTACTGAAGAATAATTCAGAAGACTGCGGTGATTCATTATGAACAGATGCTATAAACGGGAACAGTAACATTGCTAGGTAAGAAAGAAGCAAGCTATTTCAGGAGTCTTGAAAATCTCTTCTAGTTCTTCAGACAGATCATGCTGCTATAGTTACTTTATAAAAAACTATATTCTGAAAAGCACTTTAGTAGAAGAAACCTTTTACTGGAAATATTATTTAACCAAGACCACCTACAGCACTAAAACACACTGCAATTGAGTTCCCGATATAGTTTTAAGAATGGGAGGGGTAAAAAAAAAAAAAAGAACAAAAAACCTACCATACCTGCACCAGGAGCTATTTATTAGCATAACACTCTTCCTTTTAAAGATTTCGTAACAACTGAAGTATATACAAAGTCTTACAGCATTTACACAATTAAAAAAGTTTCCTATTAGCTGATGAAGTATAAGGTAGTGCTGCAATTTACTTCAAAGCATGTATACAATAATAATGAAGCAGACCACTGTACTTTCAACTTCTCCGCTACCACACCACCACTGTCAGTCGAAATGACAGTTAATTAAACCACTGGGAAGACACAGATTGTCAAAAGATTTGTAACAGGTTGACCTGCAGCACTAACCATCGTAAGGAGGGGAAAAAAAAAAAAAAAGAAGGAAAAAAAAGAAAAAAAAAAAAGAAAAGCTACATACTGTCATGTTTCTACGCTTTCCTAGAGCTGTAACAAACTTTCACAGCCTTAGATATAACATATGCAAGACAACATAATCACAATTTTTCAGATATAGTTCAGCTACTGAGTGTATTTACTTCTGAATAGGAGGCGTTATATTGATATGGCTGTGTATTTCCATTTTTGTTCATTAACTGTTCAAATAGGTCTACAAAAAATTAAGAGACAGCATGGAGTCTGTAGTCATGATGTGTTTGACTAATAAAGGCATTCAATATCAGCTATAGGATCTAATCATTCCTGTCAAAAGTTTAAGACCAGGAATCTTTGAGTAAAAACCAAACCTGCAAAACCCCACACCTACAACATTTCCAGCTGTTGACTCCAACCTTCTTGAAGCTTTTCCAACAGGGTTACACAAAATCATTAAAATGCTTATACCAACCCAAATGCAAGACTCATTTAGTTTGTGAGAGGTCCAGCAGATTCGCTAGACTACTTCTGCTGTAAAACTGACGGAGCTCACCTAGAAAAAAGAAACCTTTACTGAACAGTCCCTTACTACAGGTAGGGATATATAGTTTAACAATGGTACATAATTTAAGAATTTAACATTCTTTGCCCTTTAGAAACAGTTTTACATGTGCCAATAATGCACTTTCTACAAGAGATAAGGCTTCTTTGCCTATTGTCGTATGCCTAAACCTCTTATTTTGGCCAATTTTGCTTTTCTTCCCCCCAAAAGGGATTCAACTTAGAAGCTAGTAACGTCAGTTGACAATATCTGTATTAAGACAAAAAGTGACATATAAAATCCACAAGGAACCACATAAATACCAAAGAAGTCGTATAACCTTTCCATGTAAACACTTTGATTATACTGAAGCCCTAATTAGATTCTCGTCTTAAACTTTTGGCAGATAATGTGTATGCTCAGCCAGGCTTTGTAGTTAGTTATTGTTCAAGTGGAAGCCAGGTCAGCTCACATGTTGACAGGCATGCAACTTGGAAACATTGCACAACAAGCAACACAAAGAGATTTGAGAAGTGTACAAGACTTCAAGTAGACTTCACAACCCTTCACAACTGAATATTCACAGACAAAGATACAGTCCTTGCTTTTTCTACGGTGGATTTTCTCTCACACATGGGACACTTTCTGTGACTCTCTAGCTTGCTTGATGCTATATAACCACTTGATGATTCTGGCATTCCTTTCAATGGCAGAAATGCCGTATGGCACACGGTCATTGGCACTGTCATCATTTCTAAGGTCACTGTTGCTGTCCTGAGACTGTTCACAGTCTGAGCTAATCATGCTTGCACTGCGAAAGTTGAGGGATATAATATCAGAGTTAGCCCTTGCAAAGTTTTCCATCCCAAGGTTTTCAAGCTCTTCAGGATCCAGTCCGCAGTAGTTAAAGAATCGCTCAACATCTGCGTCAACACGAAAGTATCTGTCGCTTAAGTCTGATTTTGATCGCTGTAGGGAGGGTCTTCTACTAACTCCGCATCCAGACTCGACTGCCTCAATCTCTGGCGATTTCAGGGTGGTGATGGCAGCTATTTTGGGCTTTGGAGGCAGAGGCGGGGCTGAACTACTGCAGGGTATTGCTTTTAAGGGCTTTGCACTAGTTACTTTCCTAATGTCTGAGGAGCTGTGAGAGACATGCAAGAAAGTCTCTGCCGACTGATCTAGGAGCCTCCTGCTGACGTTGGAGCTGCTCTCCTGAGGGCTGCTACGGCCCTGCGTAGGGTAAACCTTCAAAGATTCGGCGAACGAGTGTCGGTTCAGCTCCGTCGAATCGGCTCTGTGGGGCGGCCAGTTTCGGGGACCGTGCTTATACCCTGAACCCGAGCTGGAGCCTTCGGAGCTGTTGATGATGTTCTTCAAAATCTCGAGTTTCAGATTTTCTCTCTGGACGCCGCTCTCGGTCTTCGTGTTGTTGCTGAAGACTTTCAAGGTGGGGCTCCCCAGTGCTCGCTTGGCCGCAGGACAGACCGGCGGCTTCGCCAGCACCGCCGGCTTCACAGGCTCCTGCTTGGCGTTGATGACCTCCTGGCTCTTGACGTATTTCGCCTTGTCAGCTTCTAGTCTCTCCACCGCGCTCAGTCTTTTTGGATTAGGCTCCGCCTGCCTGCGAAAATAGTCGGGTCCTTTGTTCAAGATGCGGAGGGGAACGGCGGACGTGAAAGTGACGGCAGGGCTGACCGGCTTCACCATGCTACCTGTCGGTAGTGTTTCTGTAGGCATGTTTGGTGGTCTTTCCCCCGCAGCCGTTTTGGATTCTTCTCTGGGATCTCCTAAATGCACGGTGCAGAAACATGTACATTAAGCACAATGAATAGCCGATGAATCCTGGGATCTGAGCGTTAGCAGCAGCACCTCATCTCACAGCTCATTAAATAACACTGCGTTTCTCTTTTAAAGGCAGCCTTTGTAGGGCAAGGCCACCCGACACAAGTCCGTATTAGTCTGCTCCGCCGACTCCTTTCTTCTGGCTGAAAGATGCGGGAGTCTCGCCGTTCCCTTTGTGCTCCGCTACCGGCAGCGATCTGAAACGCAGAATAACCAACCACACGTTAGCGAGAGCGCCTGACATCAGAGCGATAGCAACAGCCGCCTCCCTGCCCTCCTCTCCCACCGCCGGACGGGATGCAGCCGCCGGCGCAGGGGAGGTGGCGCTCGGGGCGCCCGGGCCCCCCTCTTGCTCTGCACCCCTCTGCATCTCATGAGAAACGTGTTGCTCGGGGCTTACAGTCTAAGCTTGGATTTAACAACATTACACTGGAAAGAGGAAAATAAAGTAAATCAAACCCCACCACGATACAGCCATGTATTTCTGGAGGGAAAAGAGGAAGCAAAATGTGTCAATTCGGAGACTTAGGCCCATCTGTCTCCTGAAGATCAATGAAAGAGCACTTTCAAACTTTGATTAGTTGATTTGTGCAGACATTTTATCTCTAAACCCCCAACATTCCTCTCCTTCTAGGCAACCTACTCTGTAAATCTAAGAAATTAAGTGTAATTTCCTTTTTTATTAAATGCTCCGGAAACCAATCTGGTCTAAAAAGCAGAGAGCAAAGAGAGACGTGTAGCATTTTAAGCGCAATGCACACGTTTCATCATTACTCTAGTATAAAATCAACAAACTAAAAAGCAGAAAATCTCGCTAAAGCCTCCTATTCCAGTTCAAAGTCAGTTTGAACATTAGTCCCCAAAGCATCGGTGCTCCAGCAGTAGAATAAGGATTTCCAAGTTCTCACGGTCATCTTACAGGCTTAGCAGAACAAAAAAAGTCTTTGTTTTTTGACGAAAGATTTTGGGAGCATGCAAAAACATTCTGACTGGGTTTGAAAGAAAAGAACTTTTCTTCACGTTTGGATAAAATCATTCAAGTTTTCTACCGAGCGCTATGTGCAAATGAAGTTTACCTTCATCTAAATTATTTTAAGATCCCATCACTTAGGATTGTCACAACAGTCTAAAATCCAACACCATGGATGATATTACAAGTGCTATAACAATTTTTCCCATGTGAGGCACTGAAGGACACTTACCGTGGAATCTACTTTTCAAGCAGTGATTTAGCTAATGGGTCTCATTTGTTTTATTACTGCCCCATTAATCTGTGCTGCCCTTTTTAATATCCCATTTCTGTTATCGCTGTGTTCTTCAGGGAGAGAAAGAAAAGCAGCTGCTACTTCTTCACTTGTCCTAAGGAAGCAGAGTGGCATCCTTCCCAGGGATGACCTGCTTTCATGTGTACCACCATGCTGTGTGTGCTCAACCATCAATGGCCAACTTATGAATACAGGGCGCGCCATCAGTATATCGGTTAGACCCAAAAAACCCACGAAAAACTTTAATTCCAGCTAAAAATACATGAACAGTAAAAAGAAAACAACCTCAAGTACTGCTTCCCAGAAATACATGATGCATACGTTGAATATTCCCTCTAAATCATTCAAGGTCAAAGCAAGCAAATAAAATATATAAATGCTATAATGAGCTTATAGGAAAAAGCTGAGCTTTCTTCTGAAGGCTCGCTGTCGCAAGCATTCTTCAAATACAAACTAACATATTTAGGTGGGTGATAAACCAGACACGCATTCAGTGCAATTGAAAGGGTAGTGAAATGTTAATTAAGCTTCCCTTTCAATGTTGTTTTATAAATCCTAGTGCTAACTCCTCAGCAGTATGACTTCCTGAATTTTAACTAAGTCTTTCTGAAAGAGAAAAAGCTCACTTTCCTCATTTGAATCAACATATTTATTGGTACTATTTTGAAATGAAGTATCAAATTTCCAAATGCATTTGAAGGCAATTCCAACATGCATCTGCACACACATTTCTCTTCCATACACACAAATCAAATCTTTCCACGTCACCAGCTCAGAGCTTGATGGCTAAGTGCTTGTAAAAATACCCCATCGGTGTGTATATTTGATACTCGTGTGCCGAAATCAAACCTATGCGAGAGCAGGGGTCTTGTCAGGAGGAAGAAAAACCCCCAAAAAACCCAAAACCCCAATTCCCTGCACTAAACAACACCATCTCCCAGCTGAGTTAATACCGCTTGAATAAGCAAGACCACAAGTCTCCATTTCCTCCTTGGCCATTGTCATTAAAGGCCATCACGGTCCTGCCCCAGAGGACAGCTGCCAACTCCATTCTCCCCCGGCGAGCGGCTCCACGCACTACTACAGATTGGAGCTGTGGGAACCGAGGCATCAGACTTGAGGCTGCTTTTGGAAGTCTTTCCCTAGCACTTAACAACTTCCTCACTCAGGAGAGCCCTCATCAATGCCAGAGAGCATTGCTGAGGAGGCAAAGCATCCATGTTGGCTTCAACACCACACTTAAAAGGAAAAAAGAAGGAGGAGGGGAAAAAAAATCCCGGTGTGTATGCATGTTCATCCGAGAGAACAAGAGTGCTTGTTTGCAAGCACATAGGGGGCCAAGTGCCCTGAAGTTGATGGACCTATGCTGGGACTGGCAATGAGCTTCAGGCTTGCCTAGAAGGAAAAGCAAAGACCTGGTGAAGGGCCAGGGCAGAAATGTCCACCCAGGCCAGCACAGGGAGCATGGGCAGCAACGGCCAGGTGGTTACGTGGCCAGACACGGGAGGGTTTGTACCTGTGGGGCTGCTGGCATAAATTACGGTACCTGCAGTTACAAAAAAGGATCAGCTAAGGCTTTGTGTGTTGTTTAAATTACCCCATTTCACCAAGGTGCTGAATTTAAATATCACAGGAAAGTTTATTCAGTGCTCTTATCTCAGAGAGCTAAAAATTATTAAGCAGACACTGTTAGAAAAGAAAGTGGAATGAAAGAGACGTGGATGAATGTAAAGTGCTAATGAAACAACTTCTCCTGCCTGTGCTGGTGATGGCTGCAGCCTAATTCTGCTGCGAGCAGGGTAAGTGAAAGCAATTCCGACCGGCCTCTCTGCTGTCCACGGCCACCTGAAACACAGCAGCGACACTGGAGAGCCTTGCTACTTATTAATTTCATCGGTAATGAAAAAGGCTGAGCAGCAGCAGTACAGTGTAGTCTCAGGAAGACAAAATTGTGCCACTTAGTTTCCAGTTGTGAAAATTATCATTGCAGCAACAGGGGTATAGAAATGGCTTGCTTCTGGCTTAAACTCAAAAGAAACTCACTGCTTAGGCATCTGAATTTCCTGTTGTGTACAGCTCTGGTATCAGTTTGGCACTGCAGAAATTCAAAGGCAAATAGTTTTTCTTTACCCACTCCCAGGAAATGTGTGAGATACACTTAGGGACTTAGGAAAGGTTCCTTTTACTCTGTTTACACCCAAATGTCTACCTGGAGGTGTAATTCTTCGATGGATTGAGTTGTGTTTTTCAGGATTCACTCTGGATTTCCACTATTGCTCTTCCTTGTAACAAGTGCTAGACTTAAGAGATGACTTAAAAGAAAACAAGCTAAAAACTTATGCACACATTCAAACCTAGCTCACTTTAACACTATGCATACATTAATAAAACCTTTCTTAAAGGTCTTCCTAACTGAGCTCCTGTAACACCCAGCGACTGCTGCAGACCTGCTGAGTAGAACACAAAACATACAAAGGGGTAGAGTGGTTTTGGGTTTTTAAGGCTGTATTTTCAGCCAGACACTCAGTTCAGGATTCCTTTGCAACAGAGGCAGAGATCCAAAGCACTTATTCATTCTAGGCATCGTGCTCTAATCACTCTTAGGTCTGTAATATGTTTGTCAGAGATTCACATTTAAATAACAGATGCATTGTCTGCATGATTTAGGGGAACACAATACAGCCTAGAGCAGCAATAGCTATACAACTAACATTAACTACAAATATATCCTCTATAAAATATGCTTTTCTTGATTTAAAGCCAAGACAGTAGGAGGAGATAAACTATGCAGAAACTTTGGAATTACAGTTCCATATATTCTAAATATATGATTTTTTTGAAATTTAAAAGCAATTTATGAACTAGCCGCATTCTGACAAGTATTTATTTCTAGCGCTATTGTTAATACAATGTTATTGTACAATATTCAAATTTATTTTTTCTCTCATACCTAAAGCTGCATTCTAAACACAGGCTGAATGATGCTAACTGATAGCAAAAAACATGCTTCCCTCCCCAGTCCTGTGCTGCCCTGTAAGCTCCTACACCTTGGCCAAGTTTCAGCCAGTCTTTGCATGAAAGTATCCCCAGCAGAGCACCACATAACAGTATTCAAGCTGCAACAAGGCAGCAAACACCAGCAATGAAAATGTGGCCCAAATGAAATTAGTGGAATTTCTGCTCTTGACTTCGGTGAGGACACAGCTTCACCCGACAAAGCTATAATGAAGCTCATGCTCTTCATTCATCCCTCTGGGACAGCAGATGAAGGGATTGTACAGGAGGTAGGATGAAGCACAGTAGATAAATGTAACACAGGCTGACAGCCTTTACTCTGCTTTCCCTGATATTTAAAGGCCTGTGTCAATTTTATTTTCCAGATGATAAAATATAACTACCGCTACCCCAAGATGCACCAAAAACATGACATAAATTCTTAGCTTAAGTAATCAACAAGTGATCTCAACAGGACTCAAAGAGATCACAAAACAAAATCTGCATAGGAACACAGGACACAGATGGAAAATGTCAGGCTCTGCGCATGACTAGGTGCACTTAGAATCATAGAATCTATGGAAAAAATGTTGGAAAAAAGACCTTTAAGATCATCAAGTCCAACCGTTAACCTAACACTGCCATCCCACCACTAAACCATGTCCCTAAGCACCTCATCTACCTGGCTTTTAAATACCTCCAGGGATGGGGACTCAACCACTTAGGCCATTTCTTCTTGTCCTATCACCCGGTACCGGGGAGAAGAGACCGACCCCCACCTCGCTACAGCCTCCTTTCAGGCAGTTGTAGAGGGCGATAAGGTCTCCCCTTCAGCCTCCTCTCCTCCAAGCTGAACAACCCCGGTTCCCTCAGCCACTCCTGATAAGACTTGTGCTCCAGACCCCTCACGAGCTTTGTTGCTCTCCTCTGGACATGTT